GAGCGCGTGTTAATGTATTCTGTCCTCACTTAAATGGCCTAAGATGTTAAAAAACGAAATGGTTTTGTCAGGTTCCTGATATTACGTCCATGCCAACTTGAAATAGATGCCTTCGTTTGCTGAAGCATCAGTAACGAGCTCATAAGTTTCCATCTTTTTTTAATTGATTTTTTCACTCGCGCATGGCCTTTTTGCGATGAAATTTTTCACTCTCACCCTAGTTCAAAAACGATTCTAGCTCCCTGGAATGCGCTCTTCTCCCTAAGATTATTTCTGGTTACCTCTCCGGCATGCCGGGAATTCTCGCCTTAGTTTTCCCTAGTCTCTGAGGCTTCCATTGCGCGTGTTTTGACGTAAAACATCGTCTCGAGCATTCCTAGTTTCCGAGGAAGCGATGTTTTTGGGAATACTGCATAGTGATCATCGGACGGCGCGGGCAGCGAGCCCGCACTGTTAAATTAATTGAATCCTGCAACTAAAAAGTATGCTCAAAACGCATAAAACTACACACCACTGGACTCAAAAGTAGATACGGAACACATTTGTTTAAACATCGTTTCACTACAGGGCGTGGTCTCGTACATAGAAGCATGTGAAGCTGAAAAATATTTGATTTTCAGGGAAGTTGCACCCTTTTTATCCAGTAATGCGAAACGTCCTTACCAATCGCGAGATCTGGTTGAAGCCAATCTACTGTTTTCTTTTCGCGAGGCCCTATCTTCATTAGTCTCCAAACGCCATGGGGAGGAGTCGCACCGAGGTAAAGTGAGATTAGGTTGGGTTCGGTTAGGCTAGGTCAGGTAAGAGGTTAGGTTAAGTGAGATTAGGTTAGGTTAGGTTAGGTTAGGTTAGGTTAGGTTAGGTTAGATTAGGTTAGGTTAGGTTAGGTTTAGTGAGGCTAGATTAGGTCAGGTTAGGTTAGTGTCAAGATTGTCGCCTGCCGCGGTGTGGCGCTCGCGTAGTCGTTCTGCGGTTGACATTGTACGGGCGGTCGGAATGGTAGACGGGCGCAGTCCTCCGTGTATGGCACGGGTCCAGCTGTGCACGTGACACCAATGACCAGCTGATTCGGACACCTGATGCTAGGTAGCGGCGTTAGCTGTCGGCCGCTCCGGTAAGGGAAGCCGTAAGCGACCGCCGCGCAGTGACGAAGCTCCGCATCAGGTGTTCCAGGCGCTGTAACTAGGTGGTGCGCTTTTTTATCCTCAGACGATTTTCTGAAGCTGCCTGAATTTTTGGGCATAGACTGGTTACGAGGGAACCTGACGCAACATTTTTATTTCCAACCGGCTGAATGCTGTCCGGCGCAAGGCAAGGAAGATAAATGTGAGCAAAGCATACATTCACATAGCCATGTATTTCCATGATTCACAGGTACGCACAGCAGTATAAACAGCAAATGAAATGGACGGCCGATCAGTGTTCATCGCCGCAGTTGAGGGTTTCTTGGCACCGCCAACAGTCAACTTAGCTCGGATGATTGGTCACGACCAGAAGTCGGATGAAGTTGTATTCAATTTCAAATTGGAGACAGAACCTTCACGCTTTTATTTGAATTTGATATGCCCTTGTTTATAAGTGTTTTCTTGTTGTTAAATTAACGCGTGGAGTTGGATTTGTATAAAAGCATAGAAGGCAGAATTCCGACCGTCGATATAAGTCCAGCGCGACCTTGCTTGTGTTTTAAAATATCCTGGAAAAGTCCTCAGTAACAAAAAACCAGGTCACTACACAAGGGTTTAAGTAGGCACACGTTTTTGCCAACTGGTATGGTTTGCCACAGTTCTCCGTTTAAAAAAAGATAAGACAGTCATGTATTGTAGTAAGAATCCGAAGAGAAGTGAGATGTGCGATGGAAAAGCCGCTTCATTCTGGCGCGGGCCCATTGTAAGCCTTGGATCTCGGCTGTTCGAGGCACTCCGCACCGTTACCTCTCTGGAGTAGGTTCTGGGGGACCGGCCAGGGAGAGTGGGACTCTGCCGCCTTTACGGGGGCAGGGACCCTCTGTGGATTTCCAAATGCCTCCACACTGAAATTTGGCTTGAGTAGATTGTGAGACCAAGACAAATTTTCAGGGTAAATTTCCGGCTTAGAACTTAGAACTCAAAAGTAGCCTGCTAAAGTAGAGTGCTGTCCGAACAAGATAATAGTCGTAATATGCATGTACAGTGGGCATTTATTTTCCTTCCTCGTGCGCTGTGCTAGGGTTGCTCAGCGTTGAACACTAAGTGAACCTGCAATCCCATACCGTGTGGCAGGCGGAGCAAGTGAGCATGGAACTGAGCCACGATACTCTAATGTGGCCTTTTGGTGCAACGTGACATTAGCACGGTGACAGCTGGTGCGGCACGCCGGCCAACAGCGCAAGAACTTGACATTAGATTAGGTTAGTTTACGTTCGGTAAGCTTTATTTTAGATAAAATCCCGGGTAAATAAAACTTTCTGTCTCAGTTAGTTAATGACATTATTTGCTATTGGGGTGCTCAGCATAAAAACTCATCCACTGTCATTGCGCAGTCTGTACGGCGCGGCCGCGACGGCGCCCGATCAGAGTTTATGTGGCGTGTTCGTGATATCGCTCCACCGTAATTTTTATGCAGCAGTTTAGAGAATAAGTAATGGTATGCTGAAGCAAAAGTGTCTAGATCGTCAAGACACCGTATGTAGTTAGTCGTTTTGCCGATAGGCATTTACTTCAATCACGCCCACCTGCCGCACCGTAGATTTTGCAGACTGACCGGCTGATACAGTCTTAGTCAACGGAATCTAGTACGAAATTCATGCAAGCTTAATTTCAGAAGATGCACAATACATTTTTAAACGGCGTGTTGCCTTCATATAACTTTATATACAATATCATGACAATGTAGGCGTTTTGGCTCACAAGTGTTAGCCGGTCAGCTCGCCTAATCTGCAGTGCGGCAGGCAGTACGTGAGGCATAGGTCAGCGATACCCGCCATCTTAACCCAAGGCCGCTGATCCTCTCGGCAGCAGAAAACCCCGGATAAATTTTTGACATGTGTCGCTTCATCGTCCTCCGAGTAACTCGCAAGACACAGTTCAGGTATCCACAAACAACGAGCCTCCTAGATCGGCAGGGCTTTCTAACACTTCTACCAGGGACGCCCTCTATGATAGTTCCTGGGAGAGTCATACAGCAGCGCCTTCAAGAAACTGCCGATAAACTGCGTCCTTTAAGCCGGTGAGCTTCTCACGACACGAACACAACCAGCGGCAGCCCACAGCCCCGTACTGAACTCAACTCACAGCCGAGTGGCGAGCATTCGAAGCCATCTGTCTCAGATGACCCGACTGTAAACAACCAGCGGCAGCCCACGACCTCGTACTGAACTCAACTCACAGCCTAGTGGCGAGCATTCGAAGCCATCTGTCTCAGATGACCCGACTGTAAACAACCAGCGGCAGCCCACAGCCTCGTGCTGAACTCAACTCACAGCCGAGTGACGATCATTCAAAGTCATCTGTCTCAGATGACCCGACCGTAAACAACCAGCGGCAGCCCACAGCCTCGTACTGAACTCAACTCACAGCCGAGTGGCGAGCATTCGAAGCCATCTGTCTCTGATGACCCGACCGTAAACAACCAGCGGCAGCCCACAGCCCCGAACTGAACTCAACTCACAGCCTAGTGGCGAGCATTCGAATCCATCTGTCTCAGATGACCCGACTGTAAAACACTGCGCGGCGGACTGATCACGTTGGTCGCAAGGCGCTGAGGCCAGCTACGTTTCTTACGGCTGGTAATAAGGCTCGTTATTGAGTAGTTTGTACCGTTCATTACGTGAAGTGGATCTTGACTGAGAATTTGTGAAATGCGCTTGGCTAAGGGGCATTGAAAAAAACACAGTGTCACCACTAATTCGTGACATCAGCACTGATATCATGCAGGTTATAATATACTTATGTTACCTGCTAAAAACTGCCCTGATTAAAACTTCTATGTTTGAAAGCATTTTCGTTTAAATCCTGCCATTTCATCAGCCATGCAGCGATCATGGCCAAGGAAATACCATTGTCGGGTTGTTCACACCTGGGCGTTCGCAAGCACGATTTCCAGGCATAGCGTCCGTCAACTGGCTCTCAATCAATATTGTGCAAGGTACGATGGCGTAACCAAACAATGGCGTATTGAGAAGCATATTTACTCAACACAAAAATTATGTTGCTTAGTGCGGGTTTTCCACTTAAAAGTATAAAAATAGTTATAAGCGACCTTTTTCATCATATCTGACGTTTGTTTCAATATCTTAAAATGGCGAACATTCCCTTTAACTTTCGTAATATAGTATCAAGCAATGTTTAGGCTATGTTAGAATATCGCTTCGGTTAGAAATCACAAAACTGATTGATTTGTATTTACCATCTAAACAAAAGCATGAAGACCATGATACTCAGTACAATAAGACAGCATTCCTTTCAGAACAAAGCGGCATTGTTTATCATGCCAAGTCATCTAGGAAACGCGCGTGTCATGGTGTAGTAAAATATTTCAACGTGGTAGCCCGTTGTGTGTAAGGTAGAAGTAATGGGTTAACACGGAATGTAATAATGTCATCTTTTCTTTTTGATTAATACGGTGGTAAACACAATAGGCCAGTGATATTGAGCTCTGGCGCCTCATAGGCGCTGGATAATCCCGCAACGACGCTGTCGGACTGCTGTCACACACAGCACGCATTGAACTGAGAACGAAGGCTTCTGAAACACTCACTGCGTCTGATCCATACCGTGCGTGCTTTTACAAGCATCGTGTAATCGGTGCTGGACGGGGCTAATACGGTTTTATTTGTACACCTCTCACGTAATACGCCTTTTATTCGGAATACGTATGAACCGTTAAATCTAAGAATCAATGTCGTACAAGCCCAACATTCTGTCAACAGCGTGGTGGTGTCCGCGCATAAACGTGGAAAACTGCTGACGGCAACGGATGACTGTCCTCTTTGTCAATTTATAGCGAACGCACCTTCTCCCCAGGACCTCCTCTCTTGCATCAGCACTTACATGCTGAAGACCCTGTTTTTCTTCGAGCTGGAGTTGGACGCGCGCGTGGAGCACTGGAGTGTGGCGTCCGTCAGCAGACACGTGCTGCGGATCCTGGACGCGCTGGAACAGGCACTGCGCTACCGCAACCTGCGCAGCTACTTCTTCCCCGGCCACAACGTGATGCTTCGCAAGGAGTCGGCGCCGGAGGACTACGGTGTGGACGCCGCCATCTTGGAGAGGTTTCTGCGCTCGTTGCACGCGACTAGCCTTCGCGACGAGCCGGCCCCCGGGGTGAGAAGGGGAAGGTCGAGAGAGGTCAGCGAACTGTGTTGATCTGGGTGATACTCACCAATAACACTTTTTAAACGGTGCGTAATGTGATAATGATACTGGCTGGATGAGTCAGGTGTGCTTGGTTCCGGTGGTGTTAAGAGAGACTAGCCGAAAGCGCGAGAGACTAGCCTCCTGTGACCTGACCTCAGATGCCAGAGCGACGCTGGGTGCGCGCCCACCGGCGCAAGGTGCGCCAGGAGGAGCGGCTGATAGCAGCCTGGCTGCAGCTGCTGCACCAGCAGCAGCAGCACCAGCCGCCCGGACAGTTCAGCCCCCAGCAGATCAGCTACCTGGACGAACTGCTGCAGACGGTGGCGCGGTCTGGTGGCCGGCCGGTGACGCTGACGGACGCCGGTGCTGGCGATGGTGACGTGAACCTGGTGAGAGGCCTCTGGCCTCTGGAAACTTCGGGCTGCGGGCAGAGACGGGATGTACTGAAGGACCGGCGGTAGAAGGCGGCGCCGTTGTAATCAGAGTATGGCGACTGTAAGCGCGCTGGCAACTATCTTGCACTGTGTTCATCGACGAGCACACCCGGTCTTGATTCCGAAAACAATCATATACTCGGGTAGGCCAATTTGAAAAGCTGCACCGATAAAGTTTCTAACTTATTTGCTGCCAATCACGTGCGCTTAACGCTATGGTTTTACCCGTCTTCCGTATCCCCGTCAGCGGCCAATCGCATTTCAGTAACCGCCTGATGCTGTGTTCGCATGACAATTTTTACAGGGAGACGGAAGGGCACACATAGCCCCAAGCGATAACCTGCGCAGCTGCTCACATCATTATTTTGTTAAATGCGTCATACTTGTTGTCAGCTCTCGCTGATCCACTGACAACGCTTGCTTTTCCTACTTTCCATCCGGTCACACCGGGCATATTGTCAGAGCCAACAGGAGTCCGTGGCCATGCTCAACACGCAGCTGGTTGTCGTCATATTTGTAGACGATGAGCGGTGGTGCATCGATTGTAATCGATTATAGTTGTATCTATGCTGATTGTTCTTCACTTGTACCTGTACTTGATCGATTGTGCTTGCAACTATACCTGGATGTTTAAGATAATTTAAACGAAGATCTGAATCTTAGGTATGCATTTAGTTGCGTGAAGTAAGCCGATTTTAATCCCAAATTGAGCACCATGGGGCACAGATTGCACATTACACCTTTTCTCGTAACGTTATCTGACTGACTCACCTTCGACGGCGAGACAAAAACCGGGTATAGACGGACCATATGGTTACAGATAATCATGTTCGCGATGAATGCACTTAATGACTGATCATTTCGCCCTTTCCGGTGCATTTTGAAAGCCTGGTTTTCGTATCGGAGACCATGTATGTTTAAGCTGACCCTCGATGAAACTAGCTTTTACGCCATTTTTCTGTCATCTCACACTGGTTTGACGGCTGGTCTCGTGTTCCATCATCACTGCACCTCACGCATGGACTAAGTCCCGGACAAAAGAACTGCGTGCCTACGCAATTCTACATCACTTCTTGTAACAGGCCGGGTAAAGAATGGGTTTTCATCAGCTTTCGGTACGGAAGGCGGGGATGTGAGGCGAAATGAATAAGATTAATAAGACACGTTGATACAAATGTATAGGACCTATGCTTTGCCATTATCGCAAGACTCATAAGCGTGCAGGTCTGTGTATTTGGTCGAGGCGATCAACCGATGTCAGCGCCTGACAGGCGGCCTGTGCCGCCAGGTGGCGCCAGCGATGAGCCTGGCCGGCCGGCTGCTGTTCCCGCACGGTCTGGGCCTGACGCTGCCTCAGGCCTCGCGCGGCCTGGCGGCGGCGCTGCAGCTGGCGGCGGCCACGGCCGCGGCGCCGCCGGCCGACGCCGAGCCGGCAGGCCGCGCGCTGGTCCGCTCTCTGCGCGTGCTGGGCGCACAGACGGAAAACCAGCGGCTCGTCAGCCGCCTCCTGTTGCGGCTGCACCAGACGGCCGCGCTGAACGGCACGCAGCTGGCCGAGGAGCGCTCGCGGCGTGAGATGACGCAACTGAGGCAGATGGCGCAGTTCGCCGCCACCGTGTGTACTCAGGTCAGCCGGGCGGGGTGGACTGAAGGGAAGCTTAAGAACCGCGGCGTGGCCGCGACGTTGCCGCTCAGTTGCTCAGATGAGTAGGGTATGACTCCCCCAGTCTGTCATAAAAAGCTATGCCCCTGCTTGAAGCGCATTCCTTTCATCAGTGTTTGTTAGCATTTAAGCAATCATTTACCGTTCAGCCCTTTGCTTTCATAAATCTTAGTTACTTGAAATGTATATAGTAACTAATGCTGTACGCAATGGGAAGGAAATGAAAAGTGAGGCGTGAGGTGGTGTAGCAAATGTAGGCAATGAGGAGGGACTGAGGTATAGGCTCCATCGTCATTTCCTGTTTGCCAAGAGTTTTGATTTAAATAGCAGTAGACTTTGTGGTATGGTGATCCAACTGTCATTGTAAGTCAATACAAGATTAGCATTTGGCTCTCTCTGAGGACAATGTCGGCCATTTGCTGATGATAACACACCTACTGCAACAACCCTGCGTCGTTCAAGGGTCCACAGAGCCAAACAGGAGGTCATGTGTTAGCTACTGGCCCCGTGTCCGTCACAGGCTTTGTTTAAGGAGTGTAATGGGCTGGGTATGCAAACCGCCCTTCATGGCGTGGCGCCCTGCCATTGGTCGGCGTAGGAGGTGCGATCCGTGACCGGTCAGCGGGTGCCCTCGGGCACAGTCTGTACCGAGAGCCCGTCTGTGCCGCTGGCGACGGGGCAGGCTGTGTGCGTGCGTGATGGCGGACCTTTGGAACCGCGCCCCGGAGTTTGGCGACTGATCGGAATCGTTAACGTCGGTTGTGCGGCTATGGGAACGTTTTTTGTGGCCAATTACTTCCCGGCAGATGTGGCAGTGAAGCATCGCGCGAATTTCATCAGTGTGATGAGTTCGAGCACCTACGGATTGCTGGAAGACCTGGTGTCGCCGCGGAACCCCTCCGAGCTCAATTACACTGTCGGACCACTTTGAGCCGTAGAAATTAGTCTTAGTCCAATGATTCCGGTACCATTTGTGCTGTCGGGCAGGCGGTGAATCAGTGATTGATTCTGCGGCCCGGCTGCGCAAGCTGGCTGAGCACCGCTCGTTTCCAGCGAGCGTGTTTCAGGATAGCCAGCGGGACAGGCTTGTGTGCGGCGCTCGGGACACAGGTTGCAGACCCGTTTGCTGAGTCAGACAGGTCAGACTCTGGACACGGCGCTGACGGTGGCGCGCGCATTCGAGTCGGCAGAGGCTCAAGCGCTGGAGGTCGGCTGCTCCGCACTCATGGCCTCCAGCGAGGGACGGCTCGCGACCTCTGACGTCACGCGTCACGTGGTCGACCGGGTGGAAACGCCGCTGGCCGCCGGCCAATCGCGGGGCGATCTGATCTGGCGCGGCCGGGGCAGAGTGGACCCTTCCGGACACAGGGGTGGCGTGCTGGAAGTCGCTGGCGCGGCGCGGGGCTCAGGACGCGCGGCGAACCGAATCCCCTGCGACCGCTGCTGCAGCCGCCGGCACTCCCCGGCCAGATGCTGGGCGAGGTCGCGCCAGGGGCGCAGCCAGGGCCTTGGCAAGGGGGGCACAGGTTTGACATTCTCAAAAAGTTGCTGGATATGACTCATTTGTTATTGAGGATATATATATATATCCTCAATATTTATATATCTATATATATATATATATATCCTCAATATATATATATATATATATATATATATATATATATATATACATATATTACACATCTTAACCCTGTATAGCTGGAATATAGGTCAAACGCTACCGCGAGATCAATTCTGTCTTAAGTTTATAGCAAATAAACTGACAAAATCACGCGTTAAATGATTACATGAAATAATGCGCAGGTGCTCTTCATTTTGCAATCATTCCGTAGACTGTTTTTAAACCGATATAATTCAGAAACTGTCAGTCTGGGTTGTACAGAAATAGAACGATTCCGAGGATGAAGATTGAATATCACAATGGGTTAACAATTCGTATTAACATGGCCAGGCCATGTTTGTCTGGATGTCTTCAACATTCGGTCAGAATTGATGAGTGGTACAAATGATGTAACGTAGTTTTGAGCGTGCGGGCTCGCATGGCTTAGAAACAAGAAACTCGACGCCAGACGTTGCAGTCTCCTTGGGCCGCGCTCCGTGGGCTCCGCAGCTCACGTTAGGCCGTAACCAATACGTGGATGGAAATAGTGACGCATCTAAATGAAGTACCTTTGAACGGTTTTGGACACCAGATAGTACGTTTTGAGATATTCCGGGCGTATATTTCACCTGTGCGGTTTTTAGATGGATGGCAATAACATATTGGCCTTCATAGCACCGCGAAGTAGCGCTGGAATATGGTTGTTAAACTCGAAGAGGAAAGGTAATATTTCCGTTTGTCGTGTCGCTGAATTGATTTTGAAAGGTATGCAGAAACATGATTTTGCTGCGAGCATTGTTGCCCGCCCGGCGCCCGCCCTCTGACGTTACTTGCAGCCGCCAACTTCGTTCGGATTTACTTAAACTGCGACCCGAGCCACTGCTGTTCTTGCTCCCCGAGATTACTACCGTGTCCTTGGGGCTTTATGACGCACACAGTTGCTGGGGGTATGTGGCACCGCCAGCCTTTCACCCTGTCGGGAAAGGTGGGCACCGCGGGGAATCGAACACCGCACCTGTGGTTTCCCAGACGTGCAATGATTAACGCAGGCGCGTGAGCCACTACACTTTCGGCACCCGGCGCGTAGGTTCAGGCATTTTGATGGCATTTTTTCACTAGTCGATTCTGCAAGGCAATGAGCGTAGTTAGGGAAACGTGCGATGGCCTTGTGCGTTCTGAACTTATTTCGACTCACTTCATTCAGCGCTAATGAGACCCTTATTTCCGGTAAAGGGATCCCTTGAGTATAACACTACGGGGCACGTTGTTGTTCCCGGTCAAGAGCTGAAGGGCCATTCTGTCCCTCCTCGGTGCGTTTTCTGGCCGTCGTTCTGGCGACACGGAGCGACATCCCCTGGCCGATCTGGAGGCCCTTGGAGGGATACATCATATCACATTGGTCCGCTCCCTGTCCTGGGAGGACTTTTGACCCGTGCAGTTGACCCCGGATCGACGCGTGAATCGTCATTAGCGCAACAACCTCCTTGCTCACCGCAGATGGTCAAAGATGGTTGTCCGTCTCCGTCCCCGTTGAGCACATCTTTCTCCGACCGGCTCGAGGCCCCTTGATACAGAACACCTTGTTCGCCACTGTGGACCCCTTGACGATACGGAAGCCCCGCATTGTTGCAGGGGCCCCGACCAATGTAAATCGCGGTCCGGCCGTGTCCCTGCCTGGGAAATGGGTCCCAAAAAGCTCAGACCGACACGGGGCTGACTATTTGGCGTTGGTGATCTCTGCTGGAAACAGAGAAGTGCTCTCTCTCAGCGGTCCCCAATCGGTACTAGACCCTCTCTGGTATTTGAGATCACGGGTGGGATCCTCAATGTTACCTACAGCCAGCCCTTTGGGCCGTTTAGCTTTCCACTCGAGCCCTTGATCTTTTGCCTCAAGAGACCCTTCCATTTCGGACCCCTTCAGACAGCGTTCCTAGCCGACTCGACCCACTTGCCGCCACTGCGGCCCCTGACCGATACATTTGCTCCTCAATGTATCAGGGACCCCGAACATTGCAAATCGTGGACCTCGGATTCGTTCCTGGTTGGGGGAATGGGTCTCAAGGACTCAGACAGACATGGAGCCAACTGTTTGGCTTCGTGTCGAGGCCCCATATAGCATGAATAGAAAACCGTAATAAGAGGGACCTAATAGAAGCCCTCTGGCTGGCATTCGGGCCATGGCACTACGGATGGGGGCCGGACCAGAGCCCAACCGGGCCCTTGGTCTTTGGTGCCGAGGGGCCCTCCGGTCACCCTTCAGATTTCCTCAAAGTCCGTGACCAACCAGGGGCCACTAGCCGAGCCATTACCCCTTGTTATGCACTGTGGTCCTCTTACCGACTGTGGCGGCCACACCCATTTTCTGACTTGCAACGCAGCGAAGAAGCAGCTCCTGGCATTTGCGTGCAGATATAGCGGATCTAGCTCTACGTAAAGCCGTATTCATGCCAAGGATCCTCATGTATCATCGTGCCAGTTTCTTCAACGGTGAAGCAAACTATAAACATATCAATAACAGTCATTCCGCAGCCACATAATCCCAAGACGTTGAAACGCATCACGCATCACGCAAAAAGTACCACACTCAAGCATAACTTAGATCCTTATACAGACCAAGGAGCGTCCTCAATGGGCTCATGCGGCGCACCGCCGGTTGATTCTGCGGGGAAAGCTCACATAAAGGAAAGTAGCCGGTGAAAACGACGCGACAGAGACAGGCAGAAAAGGCCAATGAGATGAGTTTAGGGAACTAAATTGAAGCTGCACGTCCGGAGCTTACACCGACAAAAGGGCCCCAACCAGTGTTTCAGGAACCCAGACCATGGCAAATCGTGACCCCGGGCTTGCTCCCGCTTGCAAAATTGCAGCCAGGGATCAGACTAACAGGGAGCCAACCGTTCGGTGTTCGTGGTCTTTGCACTAGTTAAAGACCAGCGTTGTCTCAGGGATCCTCAAACGGTACAAGAGAATATCCGACTGCCATTTCAGGTGGCGACCCTACAGGCCACGGTTTTCTGTCTGACCTACATCTAATCTTTCAGGCCCAGGCCTCTCTCCGGGTCTCATCGTTCACTGCGCTTGATTGCCTCAGGACCCCATGTAAGCACGGGGGCCTCTGTTAGGCGCCGTGTGCCCTTTACAGATACAGGGGCACCGACCAGTGTAAGTCTGTGCCGTTGATAAAGGGGTAAGCCCTCAAGTCCATACCGATACGGAGCGGACTGTGCGGCACTGGTGGTGCCTAACCGACACAAGGACCCATATCGGCCCAGGGTGTCCCCGATTGATGCAAAGGACCATCTTGCTGTCATTTAACGGTCCGTCCCCGCGGGCCGGGCCCCGGAATGAGACTACGACCAGC